AAAAGGGAAGTTTTGAAAGATGTTTAAGATGTCGGTATTAATAACAAGCGGCACTTCACGGTGTTTCTGTCATTAAAAAGGCAGGAGCACCAACGCGGCGAAACCCGCTGTCTTTGTACCGTTTTGCTGGCGTCGTTTCTGCCTTGACTTCCTCTTAATGTTCTCGCTGTGGGTCTCCCAGTAGGCACAGTAGTAATCAGCGGGTTCTTTCGCCGATAAAATTGACAGTGTACTTTTATTGCCAACTTTAGCCGCCGTGAAGCCTTGTTCGGTTTGTTGGCTGCCTGACCCAGCTGGTAGGTAAGAAACACGGTGCAAAGCCCCCCCTTCTACCCGTCGGTACCAATGCAGGGAGTTATCATCCAAGTTGATTGACACTTCACACTCGACCCTCGCTACTCTGTTCTTTTTACCCATTGCCACCAGACTCTGTTTGATTTCGGACGATGCAAACCCTACAATGGAATAATAATGTCTTATTAGCATGAAAATAAGGTAGTTTCACATTTTTTTCAGTAGGTAGAGAAAAAGACTAAAACCTCACCGAAGATGAAAAACAACCATGAAATAATAACCACAGGACACATGATGGTTGCGATCCCACAGCCCTCAATAACTGCTCCTGTCTCACTGTTTGTTCAGCTTTTGTTTCTCTGGCTCTCTATTGAGAGACGTGACAGAAATCAAACGTCATGCGGGGCTGGACTCAAGTCGTCGGGTTTCCTTCCCATTTTATATTTGTCTCCGCCTTACAGTTTTCAGTGTTACTAACCAACAACCCGTAAATTATAACAGTCAGTTGTAGTTGGGCCTAATAGTTATATACGCCGAAAGCTTTACCGCACCTCTTAAGTAAATCTTGTCATAACTCCATGTCGTAGATCGTGATACTTATGTGAATCTTTATAATGCACATTCTCCCCGTATGTTTCATTAAGAAGGAGATCAGATTAACCGCATTTCTTAACACTCACCGTTGACTGCACATCTTTCTTTAAAAACCCTGCGACATTTACGGTTCGCTGAGTCCTGCAGAGCTCATACATGGACTATTAGATTACAGTTCCTCCTTTGATGTAAATGATGTGTAGACCCATGGCGATTTAGACGTAGACCATGTGTATACATTAATTTGAAATTATACTGACACTAAGGATGCGGGGTCACCTGCCTCCACATTGCTGGTACACCATCGGCAAAATGAGACTTTTCAAAAATGTGAAAGTGGCTAAACAGAACTGATCAATTTCACATTTTATTGTCACACGTGAACACAATGAAATTCCCACGCCGCAGTTGTAGGATATGGCATCGGCAGTATTGCCAACTTTTTTTTAGCCGTGAAATGTTTAATTCGAGACTAGTCTGCACACATATACACACGTATTTACATGCATGTCAGAGTTTTTTTTTTTTGTCTTGTAAGTATTCTGTCGGGTTTGCAAACTACCACAATATTTTTGATGCGTCTAATTTTAGGCTTATTAAGGAATAATATAGATTTGCCGTAAGATTTCTTGTGTGAGCGTGAGAGTCTGAGAGTGAGTGTCACGCCAGATGCGTGAGAGTTGGCAACCGTTCTTTGGGGCACTGGACAAACGGTATTTCAGTACAAAACAAGACAGTCTAACATAACGGTGAGTAAATAAGTAGTAATTAAAAAGCATATGTGCAGTGGGGATAAGGATGTGCTGGTAGTTCAGCATCCTGGCGGCTTAAGAGAAAAAAACGGTCCCTCCTGCATTTGAGCTGAGCTTAATAATACGAGGTCCTGCATCAGACGATAATAATTTAGCAAGTCAATGGATTCGAAAATATCGTACATAGACATTACTGCTCTGTAGTGATCCTGGATCGCAGGTAGCTTGTGAAATTACTCGTTATACACTTTGACACACACGCAAATTTAGCCCACCACGAGGTGTCGCTAAAATACAGTAACCCAGACGCCAGTTTGTTTATTTCAACATCCTGATTTTCCCGAGTTTGACTTGTCCTTCGGTCAATAAGGGATTCGCGTTTCACTTCTTTAACCAATCGCAGTCTTCATTGTATGACATCACCACAGTGGTCAATTTTTTTCTTATTTTCAAACTGAAAGCTTTCACCCATTGAGCGAGTGGCAGTGTAGCGTTCTAATCCTCTGGCCTGTGATTGGAAAGTCACCAGTTCAGGCCTTTATTATTATTATTATTATTATTATTACTATTAAATAAAGATGTGCCCTTAAATCCCCCCATACAGCCTTTGCAAGTAAACATGTCCTTATATTTGGTATTTATGACATGTGCATCAATAAATGGCTTACACGATAAAACGACTACTTTACAGAAAACAGATATTTTAATTAATGTGATGATGTCATACAATGAAGACTGTGATTGGTTAAAGAAGTGCAATGCAAGCCCCTCCTTGTTGGCATAAGGATGCAAGTATTGCTTTATGATAATGAAAAAAATCAAGTGAGTGTGTGTGTGTGTGAATGGTGTGTGTGCCCTGTGGTGGGTTGGCGCCCCGTCCTGGGTTATTTCCTGCCTTGTGCCCGTAGCTTCTGGGATAGGCTTTGAACCTAAATGATCCTGCATTGGATAGAGGGATTAAAAATGGATAGATAGATGGATGGATGGACAGGGTACAGACCAGGGCAAAAACATTTTCTAACAAAAAATACTCATGAGTTTCAGTGTTTAGAAATTAAATGTCACTGAGAATTAACTGTCAGTGTCGGATATGTAGTTCAGCGAGATGAAAGAGTTAGTTAATGGTCTGAATACTTTTGAAGGCACTGAATTTAGTCTAATGTTCTGTTAAAAACACAGGTGGCAGAAGTTGAGGTTTTTTCCGAACTATGTGTTGAGTTTGCATCACTGTGGTAAACCCAGCAAGCACAGAAGTATGTGGCAGAATGGTTTGGCTTTGCTGATCTTATATACAACTTGTATATGCCATTATTAGCTTTATAAGCTGTAAATGTCTCAGATCCAGGATCAGCTGTTGGAGTGCCAGTAGACACGTCCACATAAAGGATCCTCTTGAACGCTTCTCCATCTTTCTTCTGGTACCAGTGGAGAAAGCTGTTACATCCATGGGTGTTACTGCAGTCAATAGTTACTGATTTCCCCAAGTCTTTAGTCAGTGTCGCTTTACTCTGGATTAGATTGGCTGCATGTTCTGCCACTGAAATTAAGAGAAGTGAAAACAAATTGAAAATCAATTCTATTAAGCAAAATACTCAGACAAGCAGGTTGTAACGAAAAACACTCACCGAAAGACAAGATGAGTGCAGAGACGAAGACGCGTCTGAGAGCCATTTGAGCGCGTCGCCTCTCACTGCGGCATCTGCTGCGCCGTCCGCTGGTTCGAGTGGAGGAAGAAAAGCGGCGGCTGCTTAAGCCAATCAGATCGCGGGCCGCTTCTGGTGCGTTGAGCTCAGCTGCACTGTAAAGGAAGGTGGATTTAGGGTTTCGGGGGGGGGGAATGGGGTATGGTAGTCAGGGGCCGCAGGGAGTCCTATTCGGCATAACTGTTGTGCTGAAGTAAAATGACTGCCTTTTCTGTTATCCATCCATTTACTGTGACTGCTTATATTGTTCAAGGTGGATGGTCGGGAGCCTATCCCACACAGACAGACACACACACACTCACCATTCAGCCACGCATGTACTGTATACCTACGGGCAATTTGGTAACTAGAATGAGTTGAACATGCAAACTCCCCTGTTTTAAGATGATGTGAGGGGGATATAGGGCTCTCGAAGGAACAAACAGACACACTTAGGTTCGCTTCTAAAAACTATTTATTACAAGTAATACAAAATAACCTTGCATTAAAATCAATACCAAGACATTGGATCAAAGGCAATGCAAAATAATCTCGTATCACAAGTGATATCTAATAATTATGGTTATATATATATCTCATTAGCAAGAATAAAACTGAAAATACAAGAGATTATAGGTATATATAAAAAGAGTGACAAGGAAACATGCATAAATAGAAAGTGCAAATTGATATTATAGTTATTGTGATAATTGATTGAATCAACACATTGACACTGCAAAGCTATTCACACTCAGACGTGCCGTCATCACCTACCCTCACTCTTAGACTGGGGAGCCCGTTTCAGTCCTGGCAGGAGACCAACACATGAGTCCCGAGAAAGTGCCGGGCGACACGCTCTCTATCCCACGGCTGAGCTCCGGTCAGTACTGGGATCTCCCCCTTCCTTTATACTAAATTTTGAGCATTACATGTGGGCAGGGGACAAGCTGGCCAGGCTCAGCCCCCCCCCGCCCCCCACCTTAGGCAATGCGTTCTCAAATTTCCAATTATGTCCGAGCAATGCCACCTGCAGTTTCAATCGGAAAGTTTCTATAGTCAATGTATCTCCTCCTCCTGAGGATGGGGGTAAGCGTTCTACACACACTGACCAGCTAGGTGCAATTCCCAAAATAGTTAGACGAGTATCCTTGAGCAATGCTTTCCCTTCCCAGGAAGATAAGGCAGGTGTCTCATACACTGACCAGTGATGTACCAAAAATATTGAGCAATATGTCTTCAGCAAGCCCCTCCAAAACCCAGGGAAACATGACAGGGAAACCTTGAGTAGGGTAAGCATTCCAGAACGAGGATTCTTTCACATAAGATAAGGATACTATGAAGCCAGTCATTTGTGAAAAACAAGTTATATAAGTGATCAGAAAGAGAGGGGGAAAAAAACATGCTTATGTGGTTTTATCCTCAATACAATAATATTATAGGTACGTATTTGAATCTCAGGATGATCAGTCCATACACGATCAGAACCAATCAATACTTCAATCACCTGTATGACAGTTACAGGAGGACAATGATTAATTCTAGGCAACATAGTCGTCCGTAAGTGTGTCCTATAATACACTCCCCACACACAGAACCCTGAGAGTTGAACCTTGGTCCCAGGTGTGAGAAACAACAGTGCCAACCACTGCCACACCATGCCACCCCTGCTCTATACTATCATTATTATTATTATTATTGGAGTGTCAAGGCTGCCTAAGCGAACTCTTGTCAGTGTATTAACGAATTACAGACAGGATCAGTTTCTGTGTCTTAACACAGACACGCACAACAAACGGTTTTTTAGAGTGAGAGTCAGATCAGTACGATGGCGTTGGTGATAGGAATGGTAAGATGGACTCATTTATTTTCATAAATTTCTGTAATCTAGCCTGCGTATAAGAAAACAAGGCACTTAGTAATGTGTGCATATTTTAACTTGAATTATGTGTTCAACGGGCGTAGAGCTAACAATTTATCAGTATGTTTTTTGTGTGTGTATCGCTTTTCCAAGTGGCTGAAATCCTACAAATAACTCAGTAAATGTTACAGTCATCTCCGGGCTCCCTTTAACTTTTGGTAACACTTTATTTAAGTCCATGGTTTTAGTAATATATAAACTCATTCATAATGCATTATAATACATTCATGAAGCATTATAAACATGGCTAGAATTTTTATAAGAAAGCAGAACACATTATAGCAATTTTTCTTATACATTATGACTGCCTTATGAAGCTCTCATCTCATCTTTGGCCCAAAGCATCCTTAATGCTTACATCAACCATTATGACGCATTATAAAGGTATTTATAGTGCACTAAAGAGGGGAGCTTTATAAAGTATTCAGAATGTATAATACACATGGCTGTAATGTGCCATGCCTTTTGATAAATATTTATAGGCATGTTAATAAGTCTTTATGAATATTATTATAATTTGTTATGAATTTGTTTATAAAAAACTAAAACATTGGCCTTAAGTAAAGTGTTACCTATCTTTTTAGCAAAGCAGTGACAGCGATGTAAACTTTTCATTTAGGACTCATATGGTCGATGGATTTGTATCTTAAGATGAAAAGGGTAAATTGTAAAGACGTTTGAGATGTCGGTATTAATGACAAGCGGCATTTAACAGTGTATTAGTCATTAAAAAGGCAGGAGCCTCAACGCCGCGCAACCTGCTGTCTTTGCACCATTTTGCTGGCGTCGTTTCTGCCTTGACTTCCTCTTAATGTTCTCGCTGTGGGTCTCCCAGTAGGCACAGTAGTAATCAGCGGTTTCTTTCGCCGTTAAAATTGTCAGTATACTTTTTTTGCCATGTTTAGTCACCGTGAAGCCTGGGTCGTTTTGTGGGCTGCCCGACCCAGCTGGTAGGTAAGAAACACGGTGCAAAGACCCCCCTTGTACCCGTCGGTACCAATGCAGGGGGTTATCATTCAAGTTGACTGACACTTCACACTCGATCCTTGCTGCTCGGTTCATTTTACCCATTACCACCAGACTCTGTTTGATTTCGGACGATGCAAACCCTACAATGGAATAATGTCTTATTAAAAATAAGGCAGTTTCACAATTTTTTCAATTAATTACCGATGACAAAATAAATGTGTATAATAGTGGCAGTTTTAGGAGTAGGAAAAATACTAAAACCTTACCGAAGATGAATGACAACCATGAAATAATAACCACAGGATACATGTTGGTTGCGATCCCACAGCCCTCAATAACTGCTCCTGTCTCACTGCTTTTTCAGCTTTTGTTTCTCTGGCTCTCGATTGAGGGACGCGACAGAAACCCAACGTCATGTGGGGCTGGGCTCAAGTCATCGGTTTCCTTTCCCTTTTATATTTGTCTCCGCCTTACAGTTTTCAGTGTTACTAAACAACAAGCCGTAAATTATAACAGTCAGTTGTATTTGGGCCTAATAGTTATATACGCCGAAAGCTTTACCGCACCTCGTAAGTAAATCTTGTCATAACTCTATGCCGCGGTTAGATCGTGATGCTTATGTGACTCTTTTAAATGCAGAATATCTCCGTATGTTTCATTAAGAAGGAGATCAGATTAACCGCATTTCTTAACACTAACTTTTGTGGGCACAGATAGCACATCTTACCTGTGATATTTAAGGTTCGCTGAGTCCTGCAAGAGCTCAAATAGGCCTATAAAGTATTAGATTACAATTCCTCCTTTGCTGTATATGATGTGTAGACCTAAGTCGATTTAGACGTAGACCATGGCTACACAGAACAGGAGTGGATTTTCCATAAGGGATTGATCTTAGCCAATAACGAACACGATAAAGAACGACGTAGTCACGTAGGTAAAGAACGACTGAGGTGTACGTGCATTTCCCAAAAGCCTTCATCATTTCAAAATTAACAAACGGATTTTAAGTATTAGTTTGTTGGCTCCTCCCCAGCCTCCGCGTGAAAAAAAGCACAAACTGTCGATAACAGGCACATCCGTTCCATGTATTTCAGTGGTGAAATACGTTTTACGTCATACCTGACATATGCGAATGTAAAAAAAAAACATAAACTAATTAGAAAATTAATAAAAACACACCAAAGGAACCATAATTAAGACCACAATAAAACAACCTATATTTGTTGAAAATATAAAAATAGGCTCAAAATATGATGTTGCTTCCTTGTAAACAAAAGGAAATAATGAGCAGCAATGCAAAAGGATGGATCGCAGGTATAAAATTACTTGTTGTACTTGTTGAAACACATGCAAATTTATTTCACCACGAGGTGTCGCTAAAATACAGTAACCCAGACGCCAGAGTTTGTTTATTTGGTCATCCTGATTTTCCCGAGTTCAACGTGTCCCTCGGTCAAGAAGGGAGGGGTTCGCGTTTCACTTCCTCCCCACAGATAAGGCATCATTATTTATGTTGTGAATATGAAGACTAAAGAGCATTCCAAGGAAGTCAGAAATTAATTAAATTATGAATTAGTGAATGTGTGTGCGTGTGTGTGTGTGTGTGTGAATGGTGTGTGTGTGCCCTGTGATAGGTTGGTGCCTCATACTGGGTAACTCCCTGGATGGATGGATGGATGGATGGATGCATAGCATACAGACTAGTGCAACAAATTTTTCTAACAAAAAATACTCATGAGTTTCTGTGTTTAGAAATTAAATGTCACTGAGAATTAACTGTCAGTGTCGGATATGTAGTTCAGCGAGATGAAAGAGTTAGTTAATGGTCTGAATACTTTTGAAGGCACTAGTCTGTATGCTATGCATCCATCCATCCATCCATCCAT